TTGTAATGGAAATACAAATTGTGGATATGCTTCAAAAATTGTATAGAAAATAAATTGTGGTCTTGAAATATCATAAAAAAGAAAAACTTTGAAATTAACATCAATAAAAAAGAGAAACGATTTTAGCATAAGAAAATTTATTTAATGTCATGTAGTTTAAACGTAACAATAAAAATTAAATAAAAATAAATATATATTAAAATTGATTTACAAAATTTTTACATATAATTACTTATCTATAAATGTGAATAAGTTATAAAGACAAAAATATTATTTAAATATTATTTAAAAATTTTAATAAAGCAGGACATGTATATTCCGCTCCCTCTTTGATGTTTACACATATGATATATCATTATTAACAAAATAAATAAATAAATAATATACCATTTAAAATACGTAAATAGCATAAAAAGACAAGAGTGAACACCTATGCTAAAGAATGGTATTAGGTTTATCTGACAACAAACGGAGACATGGTGTGGTGTCCCCCTGGCAACCCAATTTCCTGCAAATGCCATTGGCATTGCCATTCTCCAACTGCCAATCCAATATCCTTTATCTGTGACTCAAAAGCGCAACAAAATCTGACCTTTTTTCAACTTTTGAGGTTAGAGGAAAATACTAGCCGACTAAGGCCGCCACCCAAACTTAGGGGCATATGTTTGGCATTTCAACGTATATTTGAAACTAGTTCAAAAAATTATAAGGAGTGTTTGTTTTTTTTTTAATAGTTTTTTGTTTTTAAAAATAAAATTTAATATAAATTTGTATTGTATTTTATTTTTAAAAACAGAAAATTATTTTTAAAACAGTAATCAAACATAATATAATATAATTTTAATGTTTTTTTGGAAAAATGATATAATATAAAAATATGTTTAAATTATCGTTATTTAAGTATTTATTTAATAATTATTTATAAAAAATTAATATCATAATTTTAATAATAATTATACTAAACAAATTAAAAGCAGTTTATAAGAATTATTTATTATTCATAGGCTCTTTTAAATGGTTCAAAAATTATAATAAATAATATGAAAATAAATATGAATTATAACTATTTGTATGTAAATTTAAACACGTGTTTAATAATATATATTATTTTGATAAAATTAATTATAATTTGACAAATTTTTATTATTTTTATAAAAATTAAAATTAAGAAAATAACACTCTGTATATAAATATATCAAGTATAATAATTTTTAATTAAAATTACATTTTCTTAAATCTTAAAAGAATATTCCACAAAATAAAAGAACATATAAAATAAGGTGACGTCAGGTGCAGTTTCAATTTTCATTTCTTTATTCTTGAAAAATAAAAAATTACTATTTATATCATATTTTTAATTCAACTGTCGGGGAATATAAATTATCATATGTCCCTTGAGGAACATACAATTTTAATTTTAGATTTTTTTAATATTATTGACTTTGTGTTGAAATCATATTTAATTATTGTCCTCTTGAAATTAGTACCCTTCGTATCCAAATAATTGATGTAGATATATATTGCAATCTTTCAATTTATTTGATATTGTTGTTAAATGATTATTCTTTTAGCTTCACTTAATAAATATAAAAAATAATAAGATATGGGAGCTTGATAAAAATTAAATATGAGAAAAGAAGGATAATTTTTTATTTATGTTGTCATAATATTTTATATAAAATATATTTAAATGATAAAATTAACTCTTTATTAATAGTAAAAAATAATTTATATCAAAATTTAACTTTTTGACTTTTAAATAAGTATATATATTAAAAATGAAAAAATATATATTTATTTACATATAATCTTAAAATTTTGATATTAAACTATAATAATTTTTTAAAAAAATTTACAATTAATTTTTTGAAAAAAGTTATAATTAAATATATAAAATTTATTTCCTAAAAAATATTCTTTTATAATATTTTTATTAAAAAATATTCTTATAGTATTTTTATAAAAGATATTAAAATTATATTTTTTAAATAATTTTTTTATAAATATTAAAAAGAGTATAAAGTATGAGTAAAAAAGATAATTAAAAAAAAGTTACCACATTCCAATCTTTCTTAACCCATTACTTTTTTTGAGAATAAGAATTTTAATTATAAAAGAAAATAAATTATATATTTTATTATTCGATAAACACAAAAAAATAAAATAAGGTAAGATAAACTAGCCTTATCTTATTCTAATAATGAAACATTGAAGAAATAATATACTTTTTGATAAAGAGAAATATGACATTTATTATATTTTAAATTTTAGTGATTAATCTAAGAAAGATTATTTTTTACTAATTTTAAATAAGTTAACCCTCAAATCCATCTTGTTTTAGAAAATATCATGAGATCTACTTTTGTTTTCTGAATACTATAAAATTAATGTTAATAATAATTGCATAATTAATCATATGAATTGCAATAGTGTTATATGAGACTGTAAATATAAATGACTAACAATTTTTACTTCTTTTAATAGTAATAAATTTGCTTTTTTTGTGTAATTGAAAATAATCTTTTAAAATTTCTACTTGCACAAATTAAAAAGTTATTATAAGATAATTTTAAAATTTGATTACTTAGAAACTGTAAACCTTAACATGAAAAAATTAAGATTGATATCTCTTAAAGTGAGTTTTATTTTACATGATATTTATTATCTGATACAAATTTTATCTTATATACTCATATATCATATTGTTTGCAAGATTAATTTAGTAACCGATAAATTAGTTTATTTGACACTCTTGTATAAAAATTGATTCTACCACATGGACAATCATCTAAATATAATTTCTAAACTTTTAATTCCCAACTGTTTACATATTTTGTAGTTTGTTTATTATTTTTTATTTTATTTTATTCTTTATATAAAATAACACTAAACATGCCTTTATTATTTTAAATATTTAGTTTCCTAGCCTATGTACAAATATAAATTATTAAAAAAAAAAGTGCTAGAATGATTAGATTTCATATATATTGTTACACTGCTTGTGTAATTTTATATGTACCAACTATTATTTTTCTCAAATATGAAAGGTTAGTATTTTTGTAACATTTTTTTCAGTAACAAATGATTCATTATCTTCTAAGTTGTAATTATTTTCTTTTTTTGGTATTAAGTTGTAATTAATTTTAAAGAAGTAATAAGGTATTAGCTTCAATTTTTTATTCAATGTATTTTGTACTTTACATGACTAAAAAATACCTTATTTTTAATATATAATTTTTAAAAACAAAATTCTAATTTAACAATAATAATTTTTACAGAAAAAGTAGAAGAATAAAAAAAATTAAATATACAACTTTTCACAATAAGAAAAATATCTTTTTAATTTATTAAAATCGTTGTTTTTGAAATAAGTAAGGATATTGAATCAATGATATAATAATAATAATAATAATTCAACATAAAATAAAATATCAATTAATATGAAAGGATCTTATTATATTTCCTTTTTGCAAGAAAAAATTATTAATAAAAAGATTAAACGATAAAATTTGTGTATATTTGTCATTATAAGTGGTAATTAATTTTTTATTTAATTAATAATTATACTTTTTTAAATTAAAATAAAAATAAAAAATAAAAATTGACTAGTTTAAAATATTTTTTATCACTGGTTTCTTTGTTTTTATACTGTTTGACCGATTTTCACTGATTTTAAAATTAACTAGTTTATTTTTTAATTTATTGGCTACTTTTCAGATTCTATCGGACGATTTATAAATCACAGATTAAAATATTAAAAAAATTGTTAATCTTAACCTTTATCCTATGTTTAAGCTTTTAAAAGTAATATATATATATATATATATATTAAAAAACTTTATTACATTTTTATAAATTTCATATAATAAATGCACTTTCTTAATAAAAATTTAATATTTTTGAATATTTAAATTAAGTGTTAAAAATTAATATTAATAAAGTTTTAATTCTACTATTGATCTTATTTATAAAAAATAAATATATGATTTATCAAGATAAATTTTTTTAATATATATATATATATATAATGTTAATTAATATTTTATGTATTAAATGAATGAATATGTCCATTTGTATAAATAAAGATGGACCAATTTAGTAACATAAATGTCATAATAAATAAAAATGTATAATATATAGTAATTAATATATTTAAAAATTATTTTTTATTTTTATAATTTTAAAAATTATTAATAATCATTTCTTATAAATAGGACAATAATTAATATTAAATATAAGATAATTTATAAAAAATAAATACAAATTAAAAATAAATACTACTTCAAATAATATTTATAATAAGTAGTTACTAATATTTTTTGTCTAAATTATAAGAAAAAATACTTATTTTTAAATATATTAATTTAAAATTTTTTAATACTCTTATTTATTATGATATTTATGTTACCGATACACTTTTTATTTAAATTAATGGACATATTTTATTAAATTAAACTTTAATTTATATTATAAATATTTTTAAAATAAAATATAAAATTATAATAAATAATTATATTTTATTGGTTTTTATTAAACTAATTAATAGCATGTGTCCTTTTCTATAAATAAAAAAAATCTTCCTAAAGTATCTGTAAATTTAAGTGATTATTTTATATGTTTTTTTGAATTGATTATTATGATTCTTTAATATATTAAAGATAAAAAATATTTATAAATTTTCTAAATAAAAAACTATTTGTCTTATTATTTATTATATATTTAATATAAAATTAATAATAATAATAATTATTATTATTATTTCATATAGGACATTTAATATAATTTAGAAGTTAGTGTAAAAATTATAAAGTGAAATTGTAAGAGAATTTAACATTTCTCGTATTGTTAAATTCTCGTATTATTATTATTATCTTGTGGGTTGTTGTGGCAGTAAAAAGTTGGGAATTTTGCTTCACGGTCCCACACGAATGACTTAACTAACACACGTGGCTCAAATCTATTCCGTGTTGAACTCAACATAAGCACTACAAGTGAAAACCAGAAACAGAAAAACCATACAAAGCTGAGAAAAGAAGCAAGAAACAACGAAAGACACTGCAACCAGAACTCTCTCCCTCCTTTTTCTTCAGTTTCTCTCTCGGGATTATTAAAAAAGGCAAAACCCAATTTCCAAGTATGAAAAGTGGCAAAAGTTGAAATTTTTTACATTACACACCATCTTTTCTGCCTTATAAATTGATGTGAAGAACGGTTTCATTTGGATAAAAAACACATTCAACTCTCTCTCTCTCTCTCTCTCTCTGTGTATCTCTAATCACTATCCGTCTCGGTGCCTGTTTGTGAAGAGGGTCTTTTCACGTGTTCTCTTTTCTTGTGTTGCGTTTTTCTCTTCTTTTTCCTTGGTTTTCCCGAGAAAACGTATCTGGGTTTTACTCATTTTAAGGCCCTTTTCAGGCGGTGGTTGGTGGATTTTTGTGGGGTTGTCAATATATAAAAGGGTCTCTTACTTTTGGTGTGAAGCAGTGATTTTTTTTTATACAAATCAGGTTTTTGTTTTAGGGAGGTAAGAGGAGAATGGAAGGGAATAAACGAAAGGGTGCTTCTTCCTTTACTTCTGAGCTCTTTGGTTCCAAAGAGTCTCACCCTTCTTCTTCTGGGATTTTTGGGTCCATTTTTTCTCCTCCATCGCCTAAGGTGAAACTTTTCATTTCTAAACTTTTTTTTTTCTGTTATATGCTTTTGTTGTTTAAAACTTTTGCTTTTTGTTTCTTCTGCATTTCCTGGTTAAGTTGATGAATGAGGATTGATTTATGTTGTGTATTGGTTGTGTTGTGCTTGAAGGCTATGTCTTTCAATAAATTTGTTTCATTCTTGCAACACAATTTGAGCTTGGAAAAACAATGCCGGCACACAATGAGCATTTAATCCTGAATGATTGAATTTCTCTATTTGTTGAAGTTCTTCTTTCAATCCTTGAATTTGGTTGAGTTACATAACTAGTTCATTTTCTTTGCATATCTGAGTCATGCTGAAATGATTCTGAGATTTTTCTGTGGGTTGTGTTGATTCAATTTCAGGTGTTGGGGAGAGAATCTCTGCGTTCTGAAGTGAGTGGCAAAACTGCCAATGAGACCTGGAGCTCCAAATTTGGTATTCAAGGTAGGATGCCCTGTTTAGCCACTGGTTTTACAGATTTTGGTATGTGTGTAATTTTTGGTAACGTTTTTATGATAGAATGTTGACAAAATAACATAACAGCGTGTTTCCTTTTGGAGTTATTTTCCTTTTTTCTGAATTTTCTTTATTATCCTCATGTCTTAATTATATGCACACTTGGTGGTCTAATTCCATTAATCAACATCCTAGCTTCCTAACAGCTAATTATTGATATTATTGATATTTTTTATATTTGGAAAAGATCATAAAAATACTTATTTGTAGTTCTTATTATTAAGATCCCAATAAATGTAACTGGTTAAGATTTTGGCTATATGAAATAATGTTCTATGTATGTATATGACAAAATTTTTAATGGCTTTAGATATAGTCTTTCTTTTCAAAATTTTCCTCTTTAAAGAAATTTCCTTGCCTTGTCCCTCCTACGAATGCAGATGACTTCTCCAAGGGCAATGATGGCCAAGCTCAAAACGCAGTGGATAAGGATATGAGTTCAATCTATCAGGATCAAAGAGTTCATCCATGTCACCTTAGTTCATCAATCTATTATGGTGGCCAGGACATCTATTCTCAACCTCAGAGTGCACAGAATGAGGGATTAAACTCTTTGGTGAGTGGTAGTTCATTTATTATTTATTGTTATTTTTGTTTTGTTATACTAGAGGGCGAGCCTTGGCACAACACTAAGGTTGTTGCCTTATGACCTCCAGGTCACAGGTTCAAATTCTGGAAATAGTCTCTTTGTTTGAGGAGGTAAGGCTGCATACATCTACCATCCTATATACCCGTGTGTTTCTGAACAGCATTCAGTGGGCCTTGTGCTCTAATACATGCTATCCTATAGAATATAGATCGTGAGAATAAATGATCGGAGACAAAGCTCCTCCAAAGAGAAAATTGCCTCTACAATGAGTATAAGTGTAACATGCCTTGAATTTTAGTAGTTTAGATCATGATGAAATTAAAATTAAATAAGGATGGATATACCCTTAGATGACTATGATTAAGAAATATGCAGATGATCACGGTGTTAAACCAACCTCTACAGGGTTCAAGGCAGACTGAATTGTATTCAAGAAATAATTATTATTTGGGTATATTATAATTTATGTGGGTGATAATTATTTTCTAGTATCAAGAATTTTCTCTAACACAATCGTTTTTAATAGAACAAGAATGATGGAGGAGAAGATGATCCAGGAATTGCTTCAAGAGGAAATTGGTGGCAAGGTATGTTATGACATACTTCTCTAATAGATTTGTGGTCTGAAAGTTTGCATATGTCCTGTACTGGTCTATAACAATGTTCTAATTTTTTGTTGTTTTGTTAACTTTCTATCCACAGGGTCTCTCTATTATTAAGATCACCCTTGCCAGGGCATATATGCCTCATTCCTATAGGTATATATGATCTTCTTAAACTTATAGTTAAATGGTACTCTTAGATATGCGTTAATTTTTCCTTGTAGTGTTCAAGCATTTGTTATTCACCAGTTGAATGCATATTGCAGGTACATAGCATGATAGCTTAGCAGTATAGCCCATCTTTTGTTATGTGGAAGAACTATACAATAGTCAGAAGGTTGTGGAGAGCCAGTTGCTTTCTCAGGCCAAACAACAGAATCATAATGTGAATGTGCCAACATTTGCATCTTTTCAATTTATTGTAAATAATATTGTGGTCGGTCATCCTATAGGAATTATATGTATTATCAGCTATTCTAAAAGCTGAAGCTTTGGAATTATTTACTTTAATGGAAGAAACTCTTTACTTGTTTCACCTCTACCTTTGTACTTCAGCTACTCGTATATTTATGTGTGTGTATCGGTTGATCTTGTGTGGCTTGAAACTAAAATCATTTATCTTAATTGGAGAACAATAATTTCCCTTATACTTTATAGTTTTATTCACGTGGTAGAACTCTTGTTCTCTTTCCATATGTATGGTTTTAACACTTATTTGACATTTGCAAATTCTACTAGTTTTTTAAACTTACTACCAACCACGCACGAATGGTTCTATAATGTCTTTCCCTTTTCAACAAGAATCTAAGCAGGCTTTATGGCTTCTTAGCATCATAACACGCATTTTCGGTTTAGCTTTCCTTTCAAAAATCGATGAGGCTGAAACCTATCATAAATCTAAGCAGGTTTTATGGTCTTCTTAGCATCACTGATTTTATCTCTAAATTTTCGTTTGAGTGGATGCAATAAATTATAACTTTACATTGAATTTAAAAATTAGACTAAATTTTATCATAAATTTACTTGTACGAGAAATTTTTTCAAATAAATCACAATAATTCAAAACAAAATCAAATATATGAAACCAAGTTGATTTAAATTCAAGTTAACAAACACTCATGACACACGAAACTTGTTCACTTATCATTGATGTACATCTTTCTATTTTATGGTTGAGAAACTAAAACATGTGCATGTGTTGTACATTCTCCAGTCATTATTGCTTCAGTGATGTGTCGTTTGTGTAGTTGTAGTACTGCGAACAATCAAATATTCCTGAGAGTTATTTAGTTGCACAAAAAAGCTAGCTCACATAACTGACATAAACTGAATCATCATCGTCTATATCTCTTTGCTTCTCTCTTTCCCTCTCATCCATCAATTTAAATGTTAACTTTCTACATGGGTACAAATTAGGCGTGCACGAATCGTTTGAAGAAAACAATTAAAAACCATAGGTTCGTGAAGCATCTTGGAACCCAAGAAAGTCAAGAAATTGTCATGCACTGCCTAAAAGCTATAACCCTTTCAAAGATGGGTATGATGTGGCCCAACAAGCATAATAATACACAAACCTGTCCAACACCTCGTTAACCAACGTGTCTTTTCAGCTTCTTATCTTTGCTCAAAAACGATTTCTAGTCTTAGTTTATTATTCTCCATCCAAAATATGATCTATCACCTTCACCTATCCTTATCCTTATCCATCAAAGTTGGGACAAACAAGGCTTCTTTTCTTTACTCTTGGGGTTGTTTGTTATTATGACTGGTCTTTTTTTTTTTTGTTTTTTCGGTGAGTTAATTTGTCGGGTCATTGAAGAAGTTTTTATTTCTTTTTCTTTATAGTATAATGTCATTGGTTCTTGACAAAGATACCACCTCTACATGTAGGCACAGTTCACTATCCAACACATCTTAGTGACTATGCCAATGAAATTCCAATGTTCTGCCACGCTTCTTAATAGGACTTGTCTCTTCTATTATACGAAAACACAGGTGTATTTACACTGAGAGTGAATTAAATTTATAAAGTACTTTAGTTTCGATCAACCGTGAATATATTATTAATTTCTTACTTTACATATTTTCTTTTTCTTATCCTAGAGGAATCAAAATTTTCATGATCAGTGTTCTAAATTGTGAAAATTGTATACAAATGCGGCTGATAAAGCCACAATTGAGGTCGCAATACGCTTGCCGACGTCAACAAATTCTTAATGATGCATCCACAATTTAGAACAATATTCATGATGAAGAACAGAAGAAAAGGTAGATATTGATGTACAATACATCTTAAAACATTAAAATTGCAAGCATTTTTTTTTTGTTTTTTTTTTTTTTTGAGGAAGGAACCTAGTGAGCTGCTAGCTATTATTGATCAGAAAGTTACAAGGACAATAGAGCAAAGTTTTATAGTCACAGTTGTAGCAAAACAGCTTTTGCGCCTTTATGCCCAGTCCTTCCTTGTTTCCATTACAATCTTAAGGCAGTGTGTATGCTGCAAAAATCAGCAATTTTTCATGAGTTTAAAGAGAAAAAAGATTTGACTTTTCTAAATTAATAACATGTATAAAGAATATATTTACTATTAATTTGAACTAAAGTATCTAAATATAGGTAAATTATACTTACGTCCACACTTGTAACCAACAGGGCGATTAGCAAGGTTGCAACGCTTGGGGATGGTTATGGCAACCTTAGCTTCTACTCCAGACATCTTTGCTGTGTTGGAGAGCATAACAGCACACAGACAACTTGGGTTCTGACCAATTTTCTGGATTTGAGCACAGCAACTCTGAGAAACACTTGCATTTTCATCTTGTGCTGCACTCACACATGGAGCAAGCTTCAGTGCTTCATTGTCTGGAGTGGTAGACCTTCCACATTCTCCTGCAGCTTCCACTCTATGAATCTCTGAAATACTAACAAATGCTAGAACCCCAAGAATGCATAAGACCTTAATGTAAGCTTCCATTTCTCAATCACTGGACTGAACTACTTAGTTTTTATCTCACAATGTTGCAACACTGCCTCTCATGGGATTTTATAGCCAAATATGCACTCAAATTGTGCTTCGTCTAGTCACCCATGTTAGATTAATGGAGCTTGCACTAGGACAAAAGGTGAGTTTCTTATTGCACCACTTTGGTATTAAAAACCTCATCTGAACACATTAAGGTTGCCTTTCTTGTCCAATTAAGGTAGATGGTATTTGCTAAGAAATCGAAAATTGTCGTTGATGATTTTGCCATTGCAGGAGCGCTTAAAAATACAGTTTTACACAATCTTTTAATATATTAGCTAAAATTTATTAAAAATGACAAAATTAGGAAAGAAGAATATTAAATTAAGATTGAAGAAGATTAAAACTGATAAATTTTATAATTTTTTAATAAACTTTAACCAATAACTAAAATTAATTAAAAAATGTAAGTTAAGTATTTATCATGCCAACATTATCCTTATTCTGATCAAAAGATCATATAATTATCTTGCCACCTCACCATCATTTTCACTTTATTACCTAATATTACGACTCTTCTAAAGTCCAAATTTACCAAATGAGTAAACCCGTTAAATAAATTTTATGAACTGTATTTCTGTAGAGCTAATTGATGATTTTAAACATTTTTATTTCTAGGCCTTACTGATTAGTATTTTAACTAATAAATATTAATTTATTAAAAAAACACATTAAAAATATATTTAAAATTACAATAAATAATATATTAATAATTTTTTACTTTCAACTTCTTAATCAATATTCTTGATAATATCGATTAATATTTATCTTTTTCTTTGGCTTTATATTAACTTAAAAAATGAATTTAAATCAGATGATGTGAGCATAAGATTAAAAATTAATCGCGTCTTAGTTTCATGTGTATGATTCAGTTAAGTTCGTGATATGCTGCTACTATTGAACTTATTATTTTGATTTTTGCTTTGTATTTTAGTGCTTATTTATTGGACTACTGCATTCTATTTTAGTGCTATTTCACTCTAATTCAGCCAAGGATGAACACCACTGCTTGTAATTTCCATAGCTTTACTACAAGTGCGCATGAACTATAAATTCAACGGGGTTACCAGGGCGAATAAAATTTAATACATCATTAATAATTAAATATCACATTTAGTTAATGATTAATAACTATAATTAACATTGTACTAATATTTTATTTTCTTAGTATGCAATAGTTTCATGCCCAACTTGGTAGGGTAGATGTACATGTGGCAACTATTCCTCCACTTAGATCGCTCTAACACACAAAAGTAACATGAGGCAAATTACTTTTTCATAAGATTTTGAGAACATATTTCCTTTCTTAATTTTCCATATCAGTCGCATTGATTCAAGAGTAAATAAAGGTAAGTGAAACGGAAATTTTATAATAACAAGTAAATAATAACTTCATTATAATCACACGTAAATAATAACTTCAACTAAAATCTTGAATCTTATATATGACATTTAGTGCTTGATTACTAGTAAAACAGAGTAAAGGCACTTGAAACGGAATTTGCACGATATATTTAGTACGTTTATTGAGAGTGAAATTTTCAATTCTCACCAACCTTTGTTATAACACGATAACAAAAGAATATTTTTAATTTAATTTTTACATAAAATAAATCAAATCCACCCCTACATAATTTTGGACCATATACACTCTTCGTTCAGGTGCTTCTACATGAGGTAGAGACATAATTGAGAACAATTTTATAAATGGTAACTCATTTTAAGACTTATTTCATATAAAATAAAAATAAATATCATATATAAGGAGAAAAAATTATTAAATCTGAATAATATTTATTCACTCTAAATATGTAATCCTTCTATCGAAGTTTCCAGAATCACCATACATGATGCAGCCACAACATCTCAATTAGAGTGGCTGTTGCAGCTGCATCATGCTGTGATTGCAAGCCAGATCAACCACAATTGCCCTACAATGCACAAATGCAACTTCAAATACATTTTGATACTTTCGTATTATTGAATAACATAATATGATCATGTTAAAGAGAAAGATTCATTTTTTATCAAATGTTATGAGTCCTACAACCAATCATGATTGGTCTTTATTTGATAATAAATGTATTTCTTTTCTCAAACATAATCATCATGCTACTTATAACTCGAGAGGAGTCAAATTCTTTTAGAACCATGTCTTCTGAATAGTTGATATACATACAAAGACCCCAAAGAAATAGAAACAATTGACAAATGACTCGGCTATGAGGTAAAAATATTTTCACTGTAGCCATGCCCGGTCCAGTACATTGAGCTTATCATCTTCTTCTGTGAAATCATTTGACTCCATATCTGTTTCAAATGATGGCACTTCATCAAATGTTTTTAATGTTGGAACAAACTTCTCCATTGGATAGAAGCCAAAATCTTTCTCTTTTCTACCAAAGCTACCTAAATCTGTCAAAACTTTACTAACTCCTACCCCTCTCTGGGGAAGGTTGCTGCTGTTTATGAATGATGATTTTGCTCCCTTTGTTGGACTAAAACCATGCAGAGGAGAAAAGCTTGGCGTGCCAAAAGGTGATTTATATGGAGTGCTTTGAATAGGCATTGAGTATGGAACTGAAATGCTCTTGTGAGCAATTACACCAACTTTTGAGAGAGATGAGAATTGATCAGAATGCTTGGTCAAGTCATCTACATAGAGCACATCATCAATGCGTGCAACAATATTAGATGCCAAACTCTCTAGTACTCGAGAGTAACTCTCTAGAATGGATTTCCCTACATCCTTGAAAATAGAACAATTTGAAGCAATGAGATCAAACTTTTCAACACTCAATGTACTATAAAGGCAACTTAAATATATTTTTGGTCCAAACAAATTTGACGCTATTCCGGTTTTAGTCCCTACTTAAATTTTCTCAATTTTAGCCTTAAATATTACAAAATTCATGTGATTTTGGTATCTATTAAGGGACTAAATCACACTATTTTTGTTAAATATACAGACTAAATGAGAAGTGTTTAAATAGGGACTCAAATCAAAAGATGGCTACCAAAAGCATATTTATGTCATAAAAAGGCTTTAGGATGAAAAATCATAAATACAAACCTTGTTACATTGGATTTTGCTAGTGTCTAAGGCTGTTTGAGGGAGACCACGGAAACGCTGCTTCAAGGAGAGCAGAAGACTTTCTGCCCTTTCTGCAAGCGTTTCCCTTTTGTCTCCCTCAACAATCAGATCCTTGAACATTTCCCATGATGATCTTGAACCAGATCTGGTAGTGCGACTTGTAGGCTTTGAGTTGGTCTTTTTATTCCAAATATAAATGGAAGCCTCTACTCTGTTGGCAATCTCTATGGCTTGGTGTTCAGAGGATAAATTAAGACACGCTAGCAAACATTCAGGAGAAAAATTATCTGATGTAATATATCTATAAATGACATCCCCCAAGCTGGTTCTTGCAGTCTGAAAGAAGGGTTGGATCAGGAATTTTCATAGGACATTTACAGAAGAGTTTATACCGAAGTTATTTGAGCATATGAAAATAACTTATGACCTTTCTATAAAGTTGTTTTAGATTATTTAATAAGCATTGTGATTAAACTTACCATAATAAGCTTTGTTAATAACTTAATCGTGAAGCTTATGAAAATGACTTATGACCTTCCTATAAACTCGTTTTAGATTATCTAACAAGCATTGTGGTAAAACTTACCAAAATAAGCTTTTTTAGTTTATTTCAGTAAGCTTCACATTAAGTAATCATATAAAATTTCATGTGATTAGCTATTATCTCTTGATGTTTAAAATAGTAGGGAACATTTATATTATACCTTCGGAAGAGATTCCAAATAAGTATCAGGAATTTCCATCTCAGCTAAAGTAATGCTGTTAATGGCCATCGCAGCTTTCAATATCTGGTTTGCACAATCCCTCTTGTGCTGCAACTGCTTTCTTGAGTTTTCATGTAGACCACAAGGAGGGACTTGAGGTACAGGAAGCCACCATTTCTCCTCTTGTCGCTGAAGTGCTCTACGAAAAGAAGATGAACCATCTCCATCTGGAGCCAGAACCCCTTGATCTACATACCTAAACTCTGTATTGACAAAACTATCTAGTATTTCCTGTGAAAAAGACAAGTTTTAGAATGTATTACTCCTTGAAACAAAGTAAATGTGCGCTGAATGCTGTGAAATCTTACAAAAAGCATGTTATCCAATTTTCGCAGAGCTGGCAGATTGACATAAAGATCTGAGCGTGGTCTACAAGTCATGACCTGATTCACATGTGAGCATAAACAATATTAAACATCAAGAAAAATGAAGATAAACCTTATTTGGTAGAAAGATAATTAATCTAAAAAGAAGAACAATCTTATATTATCATCAATAAGATGAAACATGCAAACAATAACAACCAAGCCTTTATGCCATTCTTGTAAGAGAAAGAGGGCCGAAGATCTTGGGTACACTGAATCAGACAAATTTTGAAGATACTGTATTGATGAATCCAGTGAATTATAACTTGACTTTCTTACTGCTACATCGATCACATTTCTATCACATACATGAATATCTAGGACACTAAAAATTTATCATGATCTAGTACCATAACTAAATCATATCAGTTTGCATTGTATATTTTATGATTTACTTTTCAAAACAGACGTATCTTTTAGCATAAATACATGAAAGCTTTCAACTTCAATTTGTAGTCCTTAAATTCTATGATAATATACAAAAGACATTGCAATATTAATTAATTTATTCACCACAGGAATTCACCAAAACCATTGGGAAAAGCAAAGAGGAAATATATTATGCTCTGAAAATTTGTATTTCAAATGAAAAATCAGAGTCATCTCATAAGGTTGAGGGGCAAAAGAAGCTTATATTTTTAGCCAAAACATGCATCAAACGGCTACATGAGTCCACACTAAATTATTTGTGAAATTGTAATAGTACCTCAAGCTTGGTTCCATCTGGAAATGTTTGCCATGTAGGCTTCAATTCAACAATATGATCACTAACACAAAGAAGCCACTCCATCTCTCTTCGCCACATTGCTTTCTTCTCTGGTGGCAAAGGTTCTAATCTCCAAAGTTGCCCAAAGAGGGTGGCTAAAGATTCAGAAAATGTATGGGTAAGAATTGAAATTTCAGATTCAATAACTAAAATTCACTACAACAAACTTGCACAAATTAAGAAATTGTTTCATGGGTACATACCGCATAGATTAGTTATGGCATTGGATATAGCCAAGGCTGTGGGGACCCCATTTCCACAACCTGACATATCTTCTCCAAGTAACAATTTTGCAAACCTCTCCTTCATCATTTCAAGTTCTAGCACTGTGATGAATTTATCAAAATTAAAGTAGAGAACATACTATGCTGAATTCAGCCAGAAGCACTTCCTTATAGAAATTAGACATAGATGATATTACATAAATACTCATTGAATTTGAATACCTTGTATCGGTAATACTGAGACTTGTTCCTCAAAATGCTCATCACCCAAGTCCTTTTTCTCTCCACCTTCACTTCCACGTGGACTTGTACAATTAGATTCTGAAATTTCCTTAACAGGCCACCCCATTGAAGGTGATGATGATGAATATGAATCATCAGCACTACACTGACTCAGTTCTTCAAGCCCTGTCATCTCAGATGACAGCAATTCAGAGCCAGAACTGCTCTCTCTACCCTTTTCTTTCATCAAATCAGCAAAACTTTTATCATTACAACCATTTTCCCATTCTTTATTTCCTTCAAAACCTTCATTCTTCTCAACCAAACCCACACCCTCCATTGCAGCTTCAAGAAAAGTAAGTGTAAACTAGATAAAAGACCAGTTTGTTACCATGCCAACATGCAGAATATCCTTCTCATGCAAGACCCTTTTGAGAGTTGAGTTCTAAAGTTAAAACTTTGAAGAGGTTGAGACACTTCGAATCTCCAAATGGCAAATGGGTTGGATTAATTAGCAATGTAAGTAAGGCACACCAATGGGGGACATTGCTTCAGCTTTTGATGATGCTGTTGTTGATTTTGTGCTCTTAGTTGGGGTGAAAGAACCTTTCATAAGTTGACAACAATGTCTGATAATGAAGGGTGGATAGATAGATTGGTGGACCATTATGTTGTGGGCTAGCTCTGATTGCTTACTTATACGCGAAGGATGAAGGTGAATCCAACGATGATTAGAACTGAAGATTGCTCAAAGCACGTGATATGAAAGAGACATGAGAGAGAACAGCCCAATCTTGACTTCATTTTATAGAACGCTCTCATTAGATTTCCCCATGACAACCACCAAGTAAAATGCCAGTGGTTCTGTGTGTAACATTAGCTTCTATTTTCTTAAGACCAACTACAAACATTTGTTTGGTCCGGGTTATAAATATGACTTTACTCCTTACATTTTATTACGTACTAATTTTTGTTGTGTCTAATTAATGAGAAGGATTAAAAATTTCAAATTTTTAAAAAATAAATACAAAAATAAAAAATAAAATCTTACAAAAATATAAACATTAATGACAAATTTAAGCCTAAATATTTTATAAATTTTATCAACTAATTTTTACAATACATTTTACAATAAAAGAATATAAAAACGAATGATGTAATAAAAAATATGCATAATAAATATATTGTAAAATTATTTATTAAAATAATAAATTTTCTATAATAGAAAGCTTGAAAGCTGACGTGTAATTTCTTAAATGGAGTACGAGAAAGATAATTTTAAAATTGACCCAAACAATGAAGTGGCTATGATTTAAATTTTAGGAAATAATTTAGAATATAGTTTTAAAAGAAAATGGAATGATAAAAAATATTTTATTTTCAAATTAAAAAAGTTGGAAGATATTTATAAGAAACAATAAAATATGAAATTTATATTAAATAAATTTTAAAATAATAAAGTTATAAATTTAATATTTATTAAAATTTTCTCTGTTCTCTTTCTCCCAAAATTCACTCTGAAACGTAACACTGATAATTATTGTTGCACGGTATGGTCGTGTCAAGGCTTTGTTGTGTCTCCGCTCCAACACGTCATTCACTCAATAAAGTGACATATTAAATGGTGAATTTATGTAGAGACAAATGGAGCGAACGAAACTGTAATGCAAATAACTAAAATGGGGAAGGGGCTTTTTGTTTCTCATCTTACCAAGCAGACTTAGAATTCAATGATAGGATTTTAGGTCTATTGGCTCTCATGGGCCATTCTTTTGATGGAAACAAGGGACCTTATAAAGGGATGTTTCTGTCTCTATGTGCCTCACACCACATGGGTATCCCAACAATGAGAAAGTCATTTGGCTTTGCCAGAAAGGAAATTTCTATCCATAGAAGGTTGTAAAGAAATGTTACCAAATCGGCAAAGAGGGTCATTTGATAATATTTATTTCTACTATTTTAAAACAATATTCAACCATGGCATAAACGTCATCTAGCTATAATATTTGCTTATTGAAAAAGGGCACAGATATAAATGAAAGAAAAAAATCACCTTCAAATCATAGGGAAAGGACGTTATTTTAAGGTAAGTGAGTTGTAGTTGGGATCTGATAAATAACCTATATCAACATAATTGCTTACTTTCCTTGCAAGGCTTTGCATAGTCACAAAACTGACACAATTTCCTCTTGGATCATAATGCCGGTTGTTCCAACAGAATTTGCCGTGGCAAAAAGACAATAGCTTCTACCAAAGTCCAACACAACAACTGGGTTGGTGTGGACAAAAACTTTGAGAAACTTGAGAGGAAAAAAGAAAACTTCACCCTCAAATTTTTTATATGTATCTTGTTTCTCCATTTGCTGATTGACATTGTTCATGCTAATTTGCAAATCACATGTTCAGAATTGTCCTTTTAATTTGGACCAGCTCTGGTTTGTGTATTGAATGAAAAGATTTAAGAGATGATGATGCTCCTTCGTTGCCCCGTTTGGAAAGAAACTTTTGTCGGTTCTATTAAATGTGTAATTTGGCCAATGCATAGTACAATAACGTGGAGCACATGAAAATAAAATAAAAAATGGTGATTTTCACCCCTTTTTTTTTTTTTTTTTTTTTTCCGAAATTTGAAAATCAAAGTGATGGGAGTATAGAGCCCTCTCAAATTTGCAATAAATTGTCTCTCGTTTGCTGCCGGCGTTCAATTTCGAAACTATTAATGCATTTTATTTACTTTTCCTCTTTGGACCAAAAACCTAGTGGGGCCATCTATGGATATAAATAGGTTGAGTTAGTTATATTAAAAAATTGATTTTTAGAGATTTAAAAATCTCTAAAAATAGATATTAAAATTTGACACTTTACATCGTATTTAGATATGATATTTATGATATTTTCTTATTTTTAAAATATATTATAGATTAACTAAAAATAATGTGCTATCGAATATCAAGTTGATTAAGCTTGTAGAAGAAAATATGCTATCGAATCCACGTGAAGCACACAATAATTTTAACAGGTTCTTAGACTCTCCAGCGAGCGTTAGCATTATTGTGATCACGATAGTGTTCACATACTGACTTTAGAAAAAAAATATATAAATTTCACCAATTAAATCACTAAATTATAACTATATATTATTTTAATTATTTATATACGATTTTGTGAGAAATTAAATATTTATAATAATAAAATCAATAATTTTTATTTTTATATATTTTAAAATTATATTGCATCAATTTATATGCATATAAATAAAACATTAAATTATTTTAAATTGGTCCAAAATTTTGTGTACATAATCTATATATGATTAAAACTTTTAATTTATTAATTATTTTTAAGATTAAATTATTTAATAAAAATTTATTAAATAATTCAAGTATGAGTATAACTTACATAAGTGCAATTTGAATTCTCTCTATACATTTTATCCATATTTATAATCCTCGCTGGAGAGTGATACTCCAAGACCTTGTTAAAATTATTGTGCTTCACATGTATTCGATAACGTATTTTCTTCCACAAGCTTAAGCTTAAACAACTTGATTTTAGAAAATCATTAAAATGGGGTGGACTTTAGTGGGTCTTCTACTTAATTAAAAGTTAATTAATATTAAATTATACCAAACTAGCATGATGAAGCATGCAATGCCTGAATTTCTAAAGCATAAAATTTTAAAATACAAAAATAATAAATAATTATTTTAATAAAAATACATAAAAATATTTCTAAATTTTAATAAGGATTAAACATTTTATAAATATATTTTGATTGAAAATTTTCCTTCTTGGGTGATGTAAAAATTTATTTCTATAAAATAATATATTTTCATGTAATTTCATTAATAAGCTATAATTTATAATTTATTTATTAATGTACTTTCAAATAAATTTTAGTTGAACAGAAATACACATGTAAAAATTTTAACCCCGCCAACGCAAATGCCAACACAATTTTTACTAATGATTTTATCTTCACAGGACTATATATTTTAAGACTGGAAATTACAACCGAGTTTAAAAGAAATTTGTGTATGAAATAATTATAAAATATTGACAAAATAAGTTATTCTCTTCATTTCAGGTGAAGTCAATTCAAGCTTTCTTAGATTAAGTTAAAAGAGGTTATTTTTTATTTGAGCCTTAACAAAGGTTAAAAATGTAGAAGTTTTTACAGAAATAATATAAAAAAATAAAAAATTACATAAAAAGACCAAGAGCAAATATATTTACGGAAGGAAACTTTTTTACTGTAGCAGACATTGAGTAGAACCAAATTCTGGACGTTGGTTTTTTTTTAAAATTTATTTTAATATTTTTATATAATAAAATAAATTTATTATTTAAATTATATTTATATATTTATATTTTGTTATGTGAAAATAAATAAAGATAAAAATAATATTTATTTTACATGTTTATTAAAATTTATTTTACATAATTATGATAATAAATAATATTTTTATTTTTCTTATTATATTATTTAATATAATTTTAATTTTTATAAAATGATATTAATATTATATTCTGAAATTATATTTTTGGTTATTTAATATTAATTTTTTTAAAAAAATAAAACTTACAATAATAATTGAATTAATTTTATAGTTTTATAAAATAAATAAAAGTATTATATTATAATAAGTTTATTTATTTAATTTGAGATATTAATCTTTATTAAAATTTATAAATAATTATTTATTTAAAAAATATGTTATTAATATTAATAAACATTATTAAATAATATTATGTAGATATATATATATATATATATATATATATAATTATATATTTAATATAAATTACTAATACTAAAATTTATAAGTTGCAATGACATTTATAAAATAAAAAATTACATGAAGAAAATTTTAAAGTAATAACAACAACATAAATCAATGACGGGAAGTACAAGCTTGAGCGATATTTGGACATATCTTCCTTGTGTGACTAGGGGTGTGACAATAAAAACAATTTTTTGGCCGACTTTGTTGTTCTCTAATGTCCATCTTTGTTTTTATCCTACTGGACTTGGGTCGACCCTTTGAAGTTTTTTTAGTTCTGGACTTGAACACAAAGTTGGGCCTGTGTAAGTTGGCCAATAGTCTTCATGTCTGAGTTCTTCAAACTGACCTTCGTATACCTTAGAAACTTGTTGTAAGGTATACACGGGAGATATGTAGATGTCAATGTTGTGGTGTGTGTATAAGCATGAAGCAAGTACATGCGAGCATGAGATGTGAACTTTTTGGAACTTGCCACAATCACACCATATTTCATCTAACCGTACTGTAAATCTTCCTACGGGTCAAATTTCTGTTGAATGTTGCGTTTCTTCGACTAAAAATCTAATGCTTGTTCTGTCAAAGGTGATAACTCTATGAGTGTTCGCCTTTGACTGTGCATCTTGAATTGTTTTAGTTGCAACCTTCGAGTACATATGTCCAGCATTAATCATTGCATCTACTTCCCTGCCTCTGTCAATGAAGAACTTATTGCAACGAGTGTATGTTGCCATAACCATGGAGCAAATTAGCAAGTTTCTGGTTTTCTTCAAGACCGAATTGATTAACTTCGCTAGGTTTGTTGTCATATGTCTCCAGCATCGTCCGTTGTCCCATCCCAGTGTCTATTTTTCCCTTGGGATGTTGTCCAACCATTGTGCAACTTCAGAATTATTATCTTTTACTATGTTGTAATAGTAAAAGAATCTCGGTTCAGTCATCCCATATGCTGGAAACAAGATTACAAATAAAATTAATATAACTAGCTAAACAATTGTATAAAATATTAATGATAATATAAAGTACGTAAAAAATTAAAATTACCCATATTGACGACA